TATCCAACAGAGGAGTGCAACACATAAGAATTCCCCTTTTCTTCATGGTGCGAGTGTGAAGAGAATACAAGATATCTCCAAGTAAGGTAGGCACCAGGTTACGAGATAGAAAAACCTTAACCGCATTCACATCTATGAGTTGGTCCGAGTTAGGAAATAATACCATCCCATAGATGAGAAGAGACAACACTTCTTCAAAGACTTGTAAGTCTAAAGCATCCAAAAATTGTTGAGCCTTCTCAAACAGAAACTTGGCTAGAAAACCCTTAACACCACTTCTTGTTTCCTAATTTGCCACACCTTCAGACCGTTGCAAATGTAAAGCTCGAGCAATCTCCTCGAGTCTCAGGTTATTCTCAATACTGGTGAAAGGTATTTGATCAAGAATTGGCACTCCCAAGAGTTGAGAGAACTCCTCCATGGTGGGCACTAGTTGGTAATCAGGAAATGTAAAACAATGGTGTAAAGGGTCAAAGAACTGAAAGAGTACTTTCATCATGTCTTCATCAAGGCTTGAGGTAACCAGATTGAGAAGTTTACCATGTCTTTTGGTGAACGGATAATTCTCAGGAACCCTTGATGCTAACTCTTTAAGTTGAGGAGGCACTCTTACGAGGTTGATTTGGATAGTATTCCTGCGAGTGGAATCCATGTCCTACAAAACAGCACAAAGATAAATCCCAAAAATCCTCAAAATGGTTAGTGCAAAATGCCATGGTATGATGTCATGATGTTATGTACAAGTAAACATATACACACAAAGCAAACAAGTCCTTAGGTTTAGGCTTGCATGAGGTTCATAGGTAAGTACCATCTTGAAGTTTAGTTGGTTCAACCTGTCCTAGAAAGTAATCAGGTTCTAGGGAATCTCAATATCACTGATCTTTCTTCATCGGGCATTGTTTCAGCGTAAGCCTCTTTATTAGCGACCAAAATATTTCAAAAGTCCAATCTCAATGAGCATAGTATCGAGTATCAACCAACTTTTTACTTCACCAAAGTCGTCTATCTCACTACTTCCTAATGGCCAAGTTGTTCAATTAAAGGTTCTATGGTCAGTTAGTGCTTCATGACACCATACAACGGCCTTGTATTCTCCTTGACTGGACTCAAGGGCTACTGGTACCAACAAATGTGTCACACTAATGTATCCATCTCTTCAACCATGTCGGTATACCCCGCATAGTCTCTACGATCTATTGATACTTACCTAATAATGTTCCTCGATCCGGGTAGAGGATTAGTACAAAACCCAAGCAAGGACACAAAAAGTAAAGCAAACAAGTCAAACAAATGAAAGCATTTTAAAATTAATCTAGTCTCTAAGGTAACCCCACTTAAAAGTATCTCCCCAGCAGAGTCACCAGTTCTGTAATACGGTGGGAGAACTAACTTGAGTATTTTGCATTTTATCACAATTGTTGCGGATAGCAAGAGTCGCAATCAACTTTTATTTTATCCAATAAAGGAAAGGGTGAAAATAACAGGAAAGACCTTTTGAGAATTTTCTTGAGTTCGGTGGGTAGGTTATGAAAAGGGAAGGTGTTAACACCCTTTTCATCCATAGTTATCTACGGGCTCTTAGTTGCTAGCTCACTTTGAAATGCTTTGTTTAAAATGTGTTTGTGTTTGTTTAAAAGTATTTTTAAAAATTGCCTTTGTTTAGGCGAACTTTGTAATGATTCTCGTCTCTATAAGAATGCATACAAAGTGTTGACTTTTGAAAATATTTCATTGAAAAGTGTTGGTGTTTTTGAAATATGTTTTGAAATGTTGTGAGCAAGCAACTACGAGCGTTCTACCTACTCAAAAAGTCTTAGTTCTTTTCCTCCTCCTTTAAATGTTACTATCTTACCATTGATTGGTAAGAAGCCCTATCATTGGATGTGAAGGGACGGGCATGGGTCATCGTATAGTCATAGAAGGCAACATTGTAGGATACCTTAGCAATTTGTCGTAAGGGACTAAAATCGTTTACGAAGGCAACATTTAAGGATCATCAATGGACTACGATCTTGTATTTGAGGGTCTTTGCTAAAGCATCCCACGTTCGAGGGACATGACTATTTTTATCCGAGGCAACAAGTGTGGGTTACCCTAGAGGTGCAAGTGTAAAAAGTGTTTTGTTTTCATGCATTTTTGTCTTGAATTAGAGTTATCTAGTTGTTGATTTTAAGTTTTTCCATACAAACCCTAATTACTAGCAATTATATTGAAAGCGATAAATTGCGGAAATTTAAAGCCCTACGCTATTACATCATTTTGGGGATGTGGATACAAATTTACAAATGGGGAATGAAAAATATTGAATAATGAATAACAATACAAATATGTAAAGATAATGTAAAAAAAAGGAAAATTGTTTTAAAAAAAAATCATGTATTGACACATGAGCTTATACATTGATACGAACATTTTTTATGCATTGGCTCATATCTATTTCGTATTGGCTTATATTTGTTTTATATTGGCTCATATCTGTTTCATATTGGCTCATATTTGTTTTATATCGGCTCACATATGTTTCGTATCGACACATACACTTATGCATCGACACATATCATTTCCTGCTCCTGGAAAATGAAAATTAACTCAGTATGAGTCGACGCATTCACATTTCATATCGACTCATACAGTAGTTCGTATCGATGCATAATGGTTTGCATCGGATCATAACATGTTTTGGACATAATATATGTCGATTCATAGTATTTTGTATCGACTCATACTGCTGTTTTTTGCCTCTAACATTGTTATGCTGCATATATGAGTCAGTTCTCAACACATGGTCAGTGAAAATGAAAAGAAATCACATGGTTAGCTTCAAGGGCAATAATATTTACATTTTATCTTCACAAATGGACCACTAGTGATGCTTGTATGAAAAGTCTAAAGTTAAGAAAACTTACCTTGAAACTGAAATTTGTGCTTTGAGTTTGAGTTGTTGTATTGTCTTGGAGAAGTCAAGTTGAAGGTGGTTGTTTTTGAGTTTCGAAAATAGTGATGTTACAGAAGTTGTTCTTGAGTTGGAATAACTTCTATATGATGTATGTGGAGTGTTTGGATGGTTTGTTTGGACAGAACTTGCAAGGTGTGAGAGGTTCAAAGGCTTGGACTTCAAAGCTCAAGAGTGGAGGTTTTGTGGACAGTTATGGCTTTTTGAGAGTATGAGATTTTGAGGGCTTGTCTACACAACAAAAACTTCTGGCCCCTTTATCTTGTAAATGACCTATCTATTTATAGAGAAGGTTTGATAGGATGAGAGAGTTTGTTTCACAAGTTGTCAAAATTCTGGTTTGGTTGAGATGAAACAACCAAGTTATGTGAAATTTGATGTCCCAATGCATGGTACAAAAGGGATATGAAGTGGCTAGGAGCTTTTAGGCGTGTTGCTTCTTGCTTTGACATTGTGTGTGCATAAAAAACAGTTGATAGACTCAAGGAGAGTTGACTTTGCATAAAGCATGCTTTATGTGAATGGCAATGGTGCCTTTGTGCCATAAATGGAATGATGCAATGGACGATACTTGAATCACTTAGATAATGGTTCAATCAATTGTTTAAACATCTTATTATTGATAGATTTGCAAGTTAAAAGGCCTGCAAAGTAAGATTATGCAGCATGTCATAAGGATTTGGTTATATGTTCTTCAACAAAATGACTTGCAATTCAAGAATGGATGCCTAACTTCAGACCCTTGAATCTCCTAGCTCAAGTATGATAAATTCATGCTCTTGGATGTTTTGGAAAGCTTGAAACATCCTCTATAACTTTCATGTTTTCCATTTTGACAAAATCATCTTGGAACTATGTGAAAAAATGCCAAGAAGTTGAGATAAAATCCTGACCAAAATCTAATGAAAATTTCTCTAAGTGTTAGATGAAAATGTCATGACTTCATGGGCTTATATCTTCAAATCTAAGAATTTTTTGGATATCAACCCTCTAATACAAAGTTGTAGAATTCATCAAGATCTACAAATTTCATGTTGAAAGTTTCCTTTGAATCATCTTGCATCTTGGTGAAAAAATGTCATGAAGTAATGAAATTAACATGTATAAAAACACTTAGAAAAATTTCTAAGTCTTGCAAAGTTTGACTTTTCAAAATGACTTTTGAGTTTCTTGATTTCTTGATGATCAAGTTTCATATTTTTGAATGTCTTGATGAATTTTGATCTTTGAAACTTAATATTTACCAAAAAGTCAAAGTTTGACTTTTCAGTATACAGTTGTCTTTTTCATCAGTTGACTAAATTTCATCTATCAATCCACTGATCTTGAGAACTGTTTTGAGCCATGAAATTAGGTCAATATGTTGCATTTGAATCCTTGATATTGTACTTTAATTCATTAGATCAGTATTAAGTCAAAAAGTCAATGATCAGTCGTTCTTAGTCAAAACCCTAATTTGTGGTCTCAGTGTTTCGAAGGTAATTTTGTCTGATCAATTCTTGAGAATCCTTGAGTATTGGAGATCCTTTGTGAGGAATGTCTTGAAAAAGAGGGGAGAAAATTTTGGAGTACAGCAACAATCATCATATAAAAGAATAAATAAAAAGTGTTTTTAAACTAATACAAAAATATTATTTTTAAACTACATTATTTTTTACACTCAATTTTTATTTTACTCGTGTGATCAATCACAACTATGTATAAAGACATGTCATCTTTTTATTTTTAAAATTTATAATAATATAATAAACTGTGAATTTACTATCGGATGATAATATAAAATTATTTTATATGGTCAGTGTATAAAATAAATTGTATGCAAAGATATAAAACTAAATTGGATGCAAAAAATAAAACAAATAATTTTTCAGCAATTAACAATAAAATTTATGTTTCTACAGTGTTCTTTATCTTTATCACCCAAAAAATCATAAATACAACGAAGCTATAAAGATGTTTTAAGTTTTATTTTCAATTTTAAATAGAAGAAATATAAGGATGAAGAATGAGCAAACATGGGAGGTTTGAAAAATTACTCATTTCTATGTATGCTCTTTCATCGCGGTTTTTAAAAGAAATGAAAAATTGGTAGGTTCCACTATATTCTAATCTCTCTTCTCTATTTATTTCCTCTTTAAACAGCTTTGATGTAACACTTCTCACCAAGGTTTTAAAAAATGATCACGGTCACGTAAAGATTTTTACGATTTTGACCGATATAAATATTGACACCGAATGTGATCATCGGGTGTGAATTTATCACAATTTATTCTTTAATATAAAAAATGATAATAATGGTATCAAAATTTGTTTAAATTGTTTTATTGCGGCCGTTTTCGCAATTGCGAACGGTTTTTTAAAACTCTGTTTCTCACCTTACTCTCTATTCAACCTCTCTCTTATGTTTTTCTTCTCAACCAAACACACGGTTAATGCTAGGGTCAAGTATGAAAGTTTCTATCAACAGAGTACTACCAACGACAGTGCACCCTAGTGAACATCAAAATACCACCACTGACGGTACTAGGGATATTTAACAAAAACATGAGAGTTCTGTCCGGCCGGGTCAAGACGATTCTTGGTTGCATGGTAATGATCAAATTGTTCATGATGTTGATTTTTGCTTCTTGGTTACATGGTGATTATCACATTGTTCCTGACCAACCATGTTAGTTGAAGTTTTGGATGACAATATTGCAAAAAAAAATTGTGTGAATGTTTCACATAGTTTTGATAGTTCTTAATTCTTTTTAATGACAAATATAATATATTAGGAGTGTTTAATCATCCAGAGTAAAAAAACAAACACAAACAGCTAAAGAAAACAAACAAATCTTAAACAGAGTAAAATACCAAGGCAAAAGTATAAATTGAGGAGGCAAGAAAAGAGCACCAAAAATCTTTCAACAAGAATCACCACAACAACTAATGAAAACAAACCATTAAAGACACTAGCGGTTCATGCACGATATTGGATTTGTCATCCACTTTGAAAAAAATATAGAAAGCAAAAATCTTCCCAATGTACAATTTCTACATCCATAAAATAACTTTGTCCAATAGTTCTTCTTTTGATAGATGTTAAACCTGAAGAGAAAAAAATCATTGCAAAATGGGCGACTAATGTTAAGCCATATCTAACTCTCGACCTAGGACCAAAAGATTTCACTATATCTAAAAGTGACTCAAGATTTTTAAATATAGCTAACTCTCAACAAATCCACCTTAAAAACATTATTCACTACAATATTTTTGGCTTACGGCTACACTAAATTTTTCCACAACTCAAAAACTGTGGCCACATACAAGCTTTAGTCAGGATTTTCAAATCGTAGACATATATTTTAAAACATTGAATCCGGAGTGTGAAATTGTTGTCTTTTCTTCAATTGTCACGGTTACAAAATCACACTTATATTTAAGCAGCGGTTAACAAACTGTAGATATTTTAAGCCACAAAAAAAAAAAAACGCGGCGTTATAATTTTTACTTCAAACTGTGGCCCAAGCCCAAAAAAATATACCCCATCAGAATTTTCCTCTTTTTTTTTTTAGTTTCCCTCTCGTTAATTATTTTCTTTTTAATTTTTTTTAGATTAAAAAAAGGAAAGAAAAAAAAAGAATATAATATTTTGTTTTTCATCAAAGTAGCGTATCTAACCTAATTTTCTTGTTCTCCTTCCTCGCGTCTCCTTTGTTCCTTGCGCCTCCTGTTCTCCTTCATCTAGGGTTTCTGAAAACCCCAAACCTTCATCACCATCTATCAATTCACCTAGGGTTTCTGAAAACCCTCCACCTTCACCTTCCCCTATCAAATTACCCGAATTCGAAAACAATTCAGTCTTAGAGGAGTTAAATGGTGAATCTATCGATGAAATTGAAACTTTGGCAGAGAACAATGTCACTGAAATTATTGACAAATACAATTTGGGTTCTAGGAGGGTTTTTAAGTTTGATTTTGTTGACGATGAAATCGACGAAAAGTTCACTGAGAAGACAACAGAGGAATTTGGGGATACAAAAACCGACGAGTTAGAAGAAAATCAACATAATATAGAAGATTTGTCCAAGAAGAAAGAGAGTAAGAAGAAGGAGAAGAAGAAGAGAAAGTTGAGAAGGTTCATACTTTATTTTTGATACAACGGTTTTGATTCAATTTGGATTTGATTTCTAATTGTTTGATTTATTGATTTAACAAGAAAGACACGAGAATCTCAAACAGCTTCGAGCTGAGTCTTAGAGACTTCTTCGAGGTATGGATATTTTTTGGATTTAATTTGTTTTTCCTATTGTTTTGTTTTGTGTTTCTGATTACTTATAAAGTTTTGTATGATTTGGGTAGAAATAATAGATGATGCGTTTAAAGATGTTCCTCTGGTTTAGAAGTCGATTTCGTCTATACTGGATAAAATTCGAAAGAGAAAATTGGAGTTCTTGAAGAAGTAGGTGGATTTTTATATGGATATTTTGATTTAGCATGCACTTAGTTTGGATTTTTGTTAATGCATACTTGGGTTCTGTTCACCAAGTGTTTGTTTGTCTTTGAATTCTAGGATCTCTTTTTTGATTCTGAAATGAGTGATATTAAAGAAGAGGCTGTAAATGAGAAGTTGAGTAACCCTTCCGAAGAAGTGTTTGCCCCATCTATGCTTACAATGAACTTGACACTTGATTATGCTTTTATTGATGATGATTTGTAAGTGGTTAGACATTTCCTCTTTTGTTTTCTTTAGATTTAGTCACTTATTATAAACACACATAAACATTTCATTGCTTTATTTATCACCAACACTTGTTTCAATGTTGTTGATGGTAATATAAAACTATCATTATTACTTTGGGAGACTTAACTATATGGTTTTTATTGATGGTACTGATGTATATAGTGTTAATTACGTATTTAGCTATTTAAATTTTCTGCATACTATCAGTTAAAATGCTACTTTTTTTTATTTTGATTAAATTATTCCTAATTTTATGTTTTTTTTCAATGTTAACAAAAAATGAAGAAGGTAATAAACTTACCAAAGAAGATGAATGCAACACGAAAGGGTGTCATCAAATTTATAAAACACATTTAAATTTCTAAAATTACTTATATTAATTTATGTATCATGTTCCTTGCAGAATGGAGACGAAGAAGTGTGTCATCAAGATATAGAAGAAGGGGGAGATGATAAAGAAGAAGAATATTATGATGCATGAGTTTAATTAATAGTAGTTGTGTTTTATATCATCCATCTCTTATAACTTTTGTTTTTAATTTGGGATGACTCTCTCAAGATAGAAATTTGGTTTTGTTTAAGAATGATAATATCAAAACTTATCTATATTTTTGCGACTTATTAGTCGGTAGCGTCACTTGATGTATAGACTTACTTATTTCTTAATGAATATTTTGATGTTGTGGCTTAACATTTTCTTGTATAATTAGATTAATTTTTTTAATAAATATCTACAAAAATGAGTATTCTTGTTTCAAAACATTTTATATTGATCTAAAATGATTCTTTATGCCATGGCATAAAGAACAACATGGTCACAACTATGCGACACAAAAATAATATATGGCCTACTTAAATGATGTAAAACCATGAGCAAAATGTAGTCGCGGTTTTAATCATTGGCCTTAAATTAAAACCATATACATTAAATAAGAACCATGGCTAGATTTGGCCACTGTTAATAACCGAGGCGCAAGATAAACCGCGCCTTAACCTAGATACTTAAATTGTGTCCTATTCAAGCCACAAATGTATATAAAACATGGCCCAAACATGAAAACGGTGGCGTATTGTGATCGGTGGAAATAGAACTGACTGTTTAAAGCTGGATCGCGTATGTCGCGGTAAGCAAGAGTCGCCACCATCTTTTATGTTCTCCAACATGGAAAGGACAAAAGCATAACAAAATTCCTTATTCGAGATGTCTCTCGATTCGGGAGGTAGATTTATAGAAAGGGAAGGTGTTAGCACCCTTTATATCCATGGTTATCCATGGGCTCTTAGGTACTTGCTCTTATGTTTTCACAATGTGTTTGCTTTTCAAATATGTGTGGGTTTGAAAAAAGTTTCGTTTTTGAAAGATTTCTAAGTGACTCTTGTATCTATCCTCAAGAGTGTTTGAAAATTTTGTTTTGAAAGCTTTTGAAAGTGTCAGTGTGAAAAGATGTTTGGTTTGTTTTTGAAGAGAGCAAGTACCCATGATTCATCCATCTACCCTAAAGAATTAGGTTGTGTAAGAGTCCTTAAGGTAGTGCCATCCCACCATTGAGAGGTAGGTAGCACCACCGTTGGAGATGTTCGGGTCAATTCGGTTGTAGGGACAGTGTGGTCACCAAAGCAATAGTAGGACACCTTAGAAGTAACCCTAATGTCCTAGATCCTTTTTTATCCGAGGCAACCGTTTCGAGGCAACTGGATCTTAGACATAAGGGCGACCGCTAAAACACCCTATACTTGACGACCACTTTCGAGGCAACGAGTGAGGCGCACCCTAGAAGTGGCATGTGCATTGTGTGTTGTTTTCATGTTAACATTTATCTTTGGTCATGCAATTGTGAGCTACGAGTTGTTTTTAATTATCATACATTCTTTCATGCAATTTAGCAGTTAGGAGTGCGGAAAATAAAATACGGAAAGGTAAAAGCTACGCTATTACAAGGCGCGGGTCTATACATCGCCAAAAAACAAAGACCCGTTTTTGATAAAGATGCGGAAAGTAAAAAAAAGCGGTAAACCTAATTACTATTACATCCTTGGAAGCAGTTACATAATAATCAAAATATAAAAATAACGCGCGAAAGAATTAAACTGGAACGTCCGAGGGTTTTGGACCCTTTCGAGAAATTAAGAGTTTTTGTCCTTTGCTTGAAATTAAATTAAAATTAAACCTAATACTAATTTAATTATTTAAAGAAAGATATTTTTTGTGTTTTTTATATTTAATGAAAATAAAGAAATTAAAATCAAAAGAAAACCCTAGTTCTAAGTTTATTTTAATTGTTAATGAAAATGTTAAAGTTAAACTAATTTAAACTAATTAATTAATTTACATGTTATTTACAAAAAATAATAATAATTAATAATGATAATAATAATTAATTAAGAAAATGATTAAAAGTGTCAAAACCTAATTCTATATAATTTTTATTTATTAAGAAAAATAGATTAAAATTTAACCTAAATTAAGCTAAGTTAATTGTTAGCATTTATTTACAAAAATAAGTTAATGGTGAAATTAATAAATAATTAAAATATATTTACAATTTTGATTTTTCTGATTTTATTAGGACAAATTAATTTATTGTGAATTAATAATAATAATTAAACAATTAAAAGAATTTAAAAGAAAAGAAAATAAAATTAAAAATGCAAACCAAAGGGGGTGTGATGGCCCAAAGTGGAGGTAAAATTGAGAAATTCTGGCCCAAGAAGACCAAGCCACGTTTGACTTTTCATGATCACGTGCATGTTTGTTGACTGGAACACACCATGGACTCCATCTCTTGGCCACTGGATTGATGCTGAGAGACACATGGCAAGCTATTGCTGGGCGTGCATGATAGAACATTGGATGATTGCTGCATTGGAACACATTAGAACAAAAATTAACAATTATATGGGGGACCTGGGAATCGAACCCAGGTCCCAACGCTTGCAAGACACGTCCACCACCACTCAGCCATCTGCGTTTGTTTGTAACAATAATGGATAGTGAAAATAATATGCCAAAATAACAATTATGCTGGGAATTTAAAAAAGGCGTGCGTCATATTTGAATACACCAATCATGTCCATCCATGCATCATCTTCTTCATCTGGCCTGAAACAAAAAGCAATCAAATAGCGGGGGTTTTAAACCCCCACAAAACAAAAGTGCCAAGAATAACGATTAGGCACACAAGCAATATAAAAAGGGCGCGATAGTGTCAATGGTTTCGTCTTGTCCTGACGAATTTATCCATATAGGTCTTGAGGTCTAATTTTACAGCATATGAAAAACCCCAATATGGAAGCTCTGAAACCCTAGCGTTTGTCCATGGTAGATTTCGATACAGGATGTTTCAACACAATTAATCCATACCAAAAGCTTCAGGAAGATGTCAGCAACACAAATCAATAATCAAAACATGTCAATGATGCATAAAAATTGGATTTCGATTATGGAAATGTTTGCTCAAACCGTGACTCTGTTTTACCGTTTCCTTGTGTATTAAAGCTTGTTCTTGATGGCAATGGATTCCTGGTAATGTCAGCAACATGTTGGAACCAATTTTAGGCTTTGAATTCACCTGCAATATTGATTTCAGTTTTCAAATATTTCTTGAATTTTTGCAATTTGGTTATGGTTTTCTATGGCAGCTTTCACGTTCTTTCCAATAGGGTTTGCTTCAGCATCTTTATGTGAAGAGAATTAGGTTAAAATTAAGCCCAACAATCCATTGCATTTATGTTTGAATATGTGATTGCCAATCCAATCTTTTTCTTTCATAAAACCTTGCCAATCATGGATATTTTGAGGTCCTTGAGGTGCACACGAATTGCCAACTTTCCCTAGCCTTATTTTCTTCACAAAAAGATTTAAAAAGCATATCTTTTGAATTTTCCTACAATTAAAACCAATTAAATGAATTAATATTAATATAAATTCAATTAATTAATTAAAAATAAGAAAATAAATAAAATTAAATTCAATGGGTCGTGCATAAGCTTTGGGTAAAGATTCAATAAGGAACTTGAGGCCCATTAGCAAAAATGAAATGTTTTAGGCAAAGTTGACTTTTGAAAGTTCCCAGAAATTTCCCAACTTCTCCAATGCATATCTTGCTCAATTTTGAAGCTATGAACATGTTCTTGGACATTTTGGAAAGGTCTTGAAGTCCTCTAACCAATGCCTTTGGTCCCATGTCATTTTGATTTACCAATCTCAAGTTATGGTCTTTGACTTAAAGTGCCTTTTTGTTGACTTTTGAAAATGACCTATAATGTAGAAATTGATAACTTTTTATGAGAGCATTTCTTCGACTTGGAATGTGAAGATGAGTTGTAGGAAATGTCATCCCCTTCAAAATGAGAATTGGATGGGATTTTTATGATGAACCATGAAAAAGTTATGCCTTGGTCAATTTGTAGTTGACTTTTCAGTTGTCCAAAAATAGAAACTTTTGATTCTTGAGACTTTCTGAGCCATGCTTGTGGAATCATGATCAAGACTTGATCAAATGATGATTGTGAGCTC